GTGGGGGTGCTGTGGCCACCAACCTCTCAACCCCCCCCCACACACATCCATTGCCCTGCAGTGACCGTCACGCGCCCCGCCGATCCGGCCGTTTCTGAGCGCGTGGCTCGGCAGGTGGGGGCTCCCCTCCCAATTCCAGCCCCCCCCCCCCCCCCCCCGTCCCCCCCCCCCCCCCCGGGGCCAAAGGGAGGGGGGGGGGGCCCCCCGGGGGCCAAGGCGGAACCGCCAGCATTCGGGGCTGCCCGCGCTGCCCCTCATTATCCTCTCCCCCCCCCCCATGCGCAGCCCTGGACGTGGGTTGCTCAGGCGGAACCCCCTGCTGCCAATCTGGGGAGCTTGATGGGCAGCCGGCCCGTTTCGTGAACACACCACGTCCGCCTCGGCTTGTACTTCTGCTTCAAGCACGGCTGGCTGCAGCGGACGCTGGGAGCCCTCCCCGGGGCAGGAGGGAGGGCAGGCACGGCTGCGGGGGGAGCAGCCCTTTCCCCTCCACGAGGGCGGTTCTGCACACCAATGTGTCCCAGGATGAACGCTTCCCGCAGGTCCCGCAGTCCTTTGGGCAAAGCGCCTTTTTCAGGGGAGAACCAAAAAGGAACGTTTTGCCAGCCATCACAAAGCTTTGGCCCAGAGTGAGGCTTAAAGCAGATTTGGGGTTCCCACTCCTCAGAGTAGCTGGGGGATTATGACAGAAGTCAGAGTGAGATCAAACGTAGGACTTTTCACATCCTTTCGATAAATTAGCTAACATTCTGCTAGTAGAACCCTGTTGGTACGAACCCTCCAAGCATTTCTGGGCTTCTGTTTGTGCTCAGCCTGATCTTCCAAAGCAAACTAAGCAGAGGGGAAATCCACAAACATGTATGGATCCCCAGATACGCAACCAACAACAACCGCCCAAATGGCCCTAACGAGGGACACGCCTTGCACAACGTGTGGGGCTCAGGTGAGAACCCCACCAATGCTGGGCACACGCACCAGAAGCTTGGACTTGGGGCCGCTGCGGAGCTGAGAGGGGTCTGGTGAGCCCAGCCAGGGGAATCTGATGGATTCCTCAGGCTTCCGTAATTCTGGCACTTGCCTGCGCTTGGTGTCAGGTAAAAACATCTGCAGTACTTCTTAGGATATCTCTTAAGGAATCCATAAAGCCCACAGATGTGCATTTTCTCCCAAAATCCCCCTTGGAACAATGTTTTCTCACCTCCTTCCAGGGCATTGTGGGGAAAACAAAATGGCAGCCATCCACCGTGGGAGGCCCGGGGGAGCAGCAGCTACTCCCTGCCCCCATCAGGCATTCTGCCCTGAGAAATCCCAGGCTTCTTCCTGCTCCGTACAATTGCAGCTTGCAAACAGGCTCTGGAATTCGTGGGCTGGTTTGGCCCAGCCCCGGCTTTCTCACCTCAGCCAGGGGTAGGCCCTTTTTCACAAGTCTTGTAACACATTTGAAGGTCTGGGAAAAAACCCTCTCTCATCCGTCGCGGCGTTTGGTCTTCAAGGTAGTTCTCTTCGCCTGGCAATGGTCTTTGGAGGCCAAACGAGGCTGATTGGAAGTCCATCCATCCTTTTCCATTGTCTTGAAGCATTTTATAGCAGTTGTGTGGCAGGGGGACTGGCAAGACCTGATTAGAATCTGGTTGCTCCGGGCTGCCACCCATCCTAAAACTAAGCCTAAGGACATGTAACTGAGACCTTTCTGTGTGCCTTCTCCTCCCTTCCCTTCTTCTGCTTCCCCTCTGTTGAGTCTTAGCATGGAGGCTTCTTGTGATAATAATCCATAATTTTTATTGTAAGTCATCCTGAGACGCTAGTGGTGGGCAGGGTAGAAAAGCCTTTAATTAACTCATTAACAATGAAAGGTGTCTTTCACCCCTGTGTGCCTCTCTTTCCTAGGTCCGTAAGTATCTGCTGATGTTGGACATCCGCAAGGAGCACGTCAAGTTTTGGCGGCCCCAAGTGCTGCTGATGGTGCGAAACCCTCGGACTTCCCTGCAGCTCATCAGCTTCATCAATGATCTGAAGAAGAGTGGCCTGTATGTGCTTGGCCATGTGGAGCTGGACAACCTGGGTAAGGGGCAGCAGGGATGAGAGGACAGAAGCAACAGGGCCGGTGGTGGGGCAGCTGGAGAGGCAGGAGAAGGACCACGGAGAAGGCCCACCCAACCTGGTATCTTCCGGATACATGCACTATCGGTGTCATAATTCACAGCCCATGACCATGCTGGCAGGGAATGATGGGATTTGCAGTTTGATCCATCTAGAGGGCACCGGGGTGAGCAAGGCAGGTCTGGAGCAGACCCCTGATCTTGAGAGAGAGCGTGCACATTTCCTTGATGATCTAGGACCAGCATGGTGCCCCCTGATTATAGTTTGCAAAGCTGCAATTTAGTTGATGAATTATTTGGATTAGTTTCTTTAAAACATTTTCGTAGAAGGGAATGGTACCTCCAATTAATTGCTCAGTAGATTAAAAAACATTTTTGAAGTACTTAATGACTGGAGAGCAGGAATGGGGAGAACGTGGTCTGTGATCCTGCGCGTATTTGGCACGCAGAAGGTCCCGTGTGCGGCATCTCCAGGGCAAAGGGACTCAGATAAGTGATGCCTGCCAGAGATCCCAGAAGCCCCATGACTCAGAGTGGGCCATATTGGGCCAGGCAGACAGACAGGTTGCCCTGGGTGAAGGAGCCCATCTCTGCTTCTGCCCCCGACCCTGCATGAGCCCCTGTGATTTCCTGCAGGTGGGGCTGGGGTCTGGAAGGGTGCATTGCTGCTCGTGGCCAAGGCCGGGGAAGCGCCCCGTGTGCAAGGGCTCCGGGCAGCCTCGAACCAGGGCCTCGGATCCACGTGGCAGGGTGGGCTCTCCCCGACTCCTTGGGCCGAACTCTGACACCTCTCGCATCCTGCGGGGTGGGCCTTCGGGGGCTCTGCCGTGCCCATGTGGTTCCACTGGAGGGTCTGTGGCCTCGTGGTTGGTGGGACCCTCCGGACGTAGCCGTCCACCGGCGCTCCTGCCTCTCGCTGCAGCCCGAGCAACGGCGGTGCTGGAAAGGAGGAGAGGAGGCGCCCTGGCCTGGGGCTGGTGGGGGCCGGGAGGCTTCTTGGGGGGGGCACCCATGGAAGGTGCACTGCCCAAGCGTGGCTGGCCTTAGCCCGGGTATTTCACAAGCTGACGGGGCAGGTCTGGGCATGAAGCCCAGGCCACCCCGATGCAGCGTTGGAAGTGGGGCTGAAATGGGCCAAGACGTCTCGGCCTGAGTCCGAGTTTACCAGCACTTGGTAACACATGCGCCTCCATGGTAATCATGTGCCATGTGCCATGCGGAAGCACTTGCAGACACGGAGGGGTGTGCTTTGCACCCCCAGGCACTTGCTTTTGCCTAACTCACGTCCTTTGTCCTGCAAATTGATTTCTCAGCCGCTTTTATGAAGGCTCCAATGGCCCCTCCCAGAACCCTTCTGGTTGCCATGGTGACTAATGGATTTTTTTTCCCTGAAAAGGGGGGAAGTACAAGGAGGGGGATTGTTAATTTCATTTTTCAACCACACCAGAGAGAGAGAGAGAGAGAGAGAGAGAAATCAAATCCAAATGATTGTGCAAATCGCAGAGAGAAGAAGGTGCAGGTTAGAGGTGGGGCCCCTACACTGGCTTCGTGGTAGGGATGTATGAGGAATCTAATAGGAGGATAAAAATTGGATGGATGTTCATTATTTCTCCCCTGGATTCTGGTTGGCCAACTGATTTTCCTGTGCTGGCACCAACTCCCCGTGGTGTGATTCAAGGTAGTTCACAGACATCCCTCTCCAAGATCGGCTGTGATTTACAGTTTTTTGAACAACTTCTAAGAAAATTTGCATAAAATCAGCTGATACGTGTGAATCAGAACTCCAAAAACGTGGTCTTTGTGCTTTTCGGATGTCCGTTCATACAAAATGCCACAATTTGCACAAATTGCAAAGCTGCGTGTAAATCATGTCCATTTACCCAATTTGTGCAAATAGTGCAATTTTTAGGTTTTTTTAAATACACGTAGCTCATTTAGTCTTAGAGATGGAAGTCTGCAGAGAAAGATCTAACTCAGCCCCCTTCCAGTCATTGGATGGGAAGTGAGCAGGAAGTTCATGAAACTCACGCAGGCCAGATATCCCAACATCAGTAAGTTGCTACTTTGGGATGACTTCAGAAGCCACATTCATTCATTCAAAACATTTCTGTGCCGCTCCCATCGCAACAAAGCCTCGGGGCGGCTCACATCACTTCGAGATCCCATGAAGTGCTAGTTCTCCTTCACTCGGCACTGTTCAGGCCTCACCTGCGTCCAGTTCTGGGCACCCCAGTTGAAGAAAGGTGCCGACAAGCTGGGAAGGGTCCAGAGGAGGGCGACAAGGAGGATCCGGGGGCAGGAAGCAAGGCCGTATGAGGAGTGACGGACAGAATTGGGCATCCTTAGCCTGGAGAAGAGAAGACGGAGGGGAGATGGGGTAGCCCCTACAAGTCCTTGAAAGCCCGCCCCCCCAGAGAAGAAGGCATCTCTTCTTGATCATGCCAGAGTGCGGGACACAGAATAACGGGCTCAGGTCGCAGGAAGCTAGGTTCTGGCTAGATATCATGAAAAATCTCCTGAGTGTTAGCACAGTGTGACAGTGGAACCCATCACCTAGGGAGGTGGTGGGCTCTGCCACGCTGGAGGCATCCGAGAGGGATGCTTTGACTGGGAATCCGCTGCTCAGCAGGGGCTGGACCCAGGGGCCCTCTGGCCCCTTCCAGCTCTGTGCTTCCACGAATGGTTTCTGAGCGCAGAGCTGTTTTACATGCTGCCCAGCTTGGGGAGCTTCATGGTACAGTAAGAAATGACATTCCGTGTGTGCAGCAAGCAGTGACACCGAATACATCATAACATGGACGTATGACCCAGCTTGCCCTGGAAAGGCCGCACAGGAAAGATACGTGGAGTCCCAGGCAGCTTTGGATAATCCTTCAGGAGGCAGAGAAGGGCAGCGAGATCTCAAAATGAAGCTGAGAAGATGTCAGCTTGTAGAAAAAAGAGTGGCTCGCCAGCTTAGCCTCCCACCCCACCCCAGATCAGATAAATGTAACGGAAGAAAAGAAACCTTGAATAGCCTGAGCCACCGTCTTTAAACTGCTGTAGTTACTGGTTGTAAGACTTTTAGTGTCAGATTATTGGAAATGAGCTTTTGCTGTTCTGCATGCTTGGAAACTTTAAAAAGGCCCCCATTAGGAGACTAAATGGGGCTGCGGGTGGGAAGGGATACGCCGAGCAAGAAGATGGTGGTGCTGGCGGCATGCTTTTGGTCAACTGTTGGGCCACCCTCCGGGGAGTGTGGTTGTAGTAGTCCAACACATCCAGAGGGGTGCCAGGCTAGAAAAGGCCATGCTAGGGCAGAGGGAAAGGAAATGAACGCGGCGAACAGTGTCGGCAAACCCACAAGTGTGAGCGCTTGATGAAGGGTCCACAGCCAAGCCAGAGGCGACGGTTGCCCCGTTTTGCTCCTCCTCTCTTCCGGGTCGGTTTGCAGGCGTGCTCTGCCAGCGGGGCTTCCTCCCCACCTCCTTCCGCGTTGGTGGACCGGCGCATTTTCCTCCCAGGGCGCGCTCCCTTCCCTCTGCTAGGAAGCCTGGAGCCACCCTGCCCACCCGCTCCCTGGTCTCTTTAGAGTCCCTCCCCGCAGACCCGCTGGCGGACCAGTCCGACTCGTGGCTGCAGCTCGTCGACAGGCTGAACGTCAAGGCCTTCGTCAACCTGACACTTTCGGACTCGGTGAGACACGGCACGCAGCAGCTGCTGTTCATCTCCGGCCTGGGTGAGTGGCAGCTGGAACCGGGTCACGGCCCTGCGGGCGCTGAGGGGGCGGGGCCAGTGCAGCCTGTGGGCCCCTCCCTGGCCGCATCTTTGCAGGAAAGAGCCTCCACTCTGGCCAGCAACTTTGTCCTGACCTGCATTATATTCATTTATTTAGCTCTTTTGCATGTACTCCTGCAATAGCTGGAGTTAGACATTCTGGCCTAGCAAAAGGTGTGATCGCGTTTTGGGTCGGATGAATCACTCAGCAGTTGGTGCATGACAGTTGCACATGTGATAATTCATAAAACCTTTGGGTCTCATTTGCACATCAATGTATGTTTTTTAAAAAATAGACAAAATTTGCATTAATTCCGTACACATTTTCATAGAGCGAGCATTTCTGCTCTAATGTTTAGCCTATAAAATATAGCACTTTGAATGTGCATTAGCCTAAAATAGGAATTGTACATGCACTTCACTACTCTTTTGAACTGAAAAGCATATTACAACAGTGGTTAAGAGGGCGAACGCCACCCTTGGTTGCATAGCCAGAAGTGTGGCTTCTAGATCGAGAGAAGTGTTACTACCACTCTATACGACTCTGGTGCACCCGCAACTGGAGTACTGTGCTCAGCTTTGGGCCCCTCATTACAGGAAGGATATAGCCAGGTTGGAGTCAGTGCAGCGCAGGGCCACAAGGTTGGTGGCCGGTTTGCAGGGGATGCCGTATGAGGCGAGGCTGAGGGAACTGGGTCTCTTCAGCCTGGAGAAGAGGAGACTCAGGGGGAATATGTTGGCGACATACAGGTATGTGAGGGGATGTCACACGGAGGTGGGTAGAGACCTGTTCTCCCCTGCAGAGGAAGGCAGGACGCGCTCCAAGGGAGCAAAGCTCAGGGAACCAGGGTTCAATTTAGATGCCAGAAAGTACTTCCTGACAGTCAGGACCCCGAGGGTGTGGAATGGGCTTCCACAGGAGGTCATTGGGGCCCCATCGGTGCGGGTGTTCAAGGATAGGCTGGACATGCACATGGTGGGCATGTCATGAGTGGAGCCGGCTGGAGCCGAGGGTCAGACTAGATGGCCTGGGAGACCCTTTCTGACTCACTCTCTCTCTATGTTGAGAGAAGTGCCAAAATCAAAGCATGACTCCATTCTGATCTCGAAAATGTGAATTTGGTACATTTGCCAAACTTTGGGACATTTGAGGACAGAACACACTCCTCAAGCATCCCTTGAAAGAGAACACAAATCTAGAGCTTATTCCAGCTTGGGAAGAGAAACTTGGAGAGCGGACCTGGGAGAAACCCCCAGGAAACCCAGACTCTTTGGAGAGCCGCTGCCATTCAGACCTGACAGCACTTCCCTGGTTGTACCAGCAGCCTTACCTGGCAGACAGCGGCTTCCTGTGACTGGGCAGAAGAGCTCAGTAGTCCTTGCAGGAGCCACGTGATACCTGTCCATCACCCTCCCGGCCAACCAGGGGACCATTAGTAAACACAGACGGGGGGAATTTAGGGGGACCGTTCAAAGCTCAGTGGTGCAACAGCATGCATAGTCTGCATGCAGAAGGCCCAAGGTTCAGTCCTCAGCACCTCCAGGTAGACCTGGGAAAGACCCCTGGGGAGCTGTCCGAACCCATGCAGGGAGTTCTGGGCTGGAGGGACCGAGGGCCTGACCCTGCGCAAGTTTCTCGGTTCCCAAAGCTGTACTGCTGGCCCATGAATTTTGGTGATGCTGCTTGTCATTGTGCTTGCCAGGGAGAGCGCCACCGACCCCGTCGAAGGGGGGGGGGGCGGTGGGTGTCTTCCTCCACCCAGGTCCTCTTCGGACCCTCCCATCTCGCCAGACTGAGCCGCGTCGTCTTCCTCTCCCCAGGAGGCATGCGGCCCAACACCATCGCGCTGGGCTTCTACGACGACACAGCCTCGCAGGACTGCCTGTCCCAGCACCCGTCCTTCGGCAGCGAGGAGCTGGCCTGGCTGAACTTCCCCCCGGTGTGGGGCGTGGACGGCCACAAGCGCCTCTCCTCCCAGGAGTACGTGGCCATCATAGCCGACGCCGTGAAGATGCTGCGCAACGTGCTGCTGGCGCGCTCCTTCCACGAGCTGACGCACCCGCAGGCGCTGGGCTGGCGGGCCCAGCCCCTCATCGACGTCTGGCCCATCAACCTGCTGCGCCCCGACAGCGCCCGCTACGTGGACACCAGCAGCCTCTTCCTGCTGCAGATGGCCTGCGTGCTCGCCATGGCCCGGGCCTGGCGCCGGGCGCACCTGCGGCTCTTCCTGTGCGTGGAGCAGGGCGCCCACCCCCGCGGCCAGGAGGACAAGCTGCGCCAGCTGCTGAAGGACCTGCGCATCCAGGCGGACATCCACACGGTGCCCTGGGACGGGGTGGTGGCCCTCCACTGGCAGAGCCGCCGGGAAGCCTCCGGGGACACCGAGGCCTTCAACGCCCTGCCCGGCAACGTGGCCTGCATCTCCGACGAGTACGTGGGCGCCGTCAACCAGCTCATCCTCCAGCAGAGCAGCGCCCCCACCGTGCGCTTCCTCTACCTGCCCCGGCCGCCCGCCGACACCGGCCTGTATGCCCGCTACTTGCAGCAGCTGGAGCTGCTCACCCGGGGGCTGGGGCCGACCCTGCTGGTGCACGGCGTCAGCGCCGTCACCAGCACCGAACTGTAGGCCGCGGGCCGGGCGTCTCTGCGCCTCTCGGGGCCCGCGCAGCCACGGGCTTGGTGACGGGCCCAACGCCGGGCTGGCGCGGCGAATGAAGGAGTGACTGAGGATCCCCGGAGCTGGCTCTCGGTGCCCCACGTCCCTCTCCCCCACCCCGGGCCTCTCGGAGGGGCCTGTCGCGGGAAGCGTGAGCCAGTCCTGGCCCCCGGCAAGGCCGCTGTGGCCGCGGGTGGGCCACGGTCCCTCGCGTCACCTGCCCCAGGCCGTGGCAGCCGGTGCCGCGGAGCGAGCCCGAAGGGCGCCACCGGGTTTCTCGGCCTGGACCGTTGGGTCAGTGGCCTTGGACGGCCCGTGGCCGTGATGGGCACTTTCCTCAGGACACTTGTAGATACGGGAGCGACATTAAAGATGGGATTGTTGGATCGACACGGGCTTTGTGGTGGCATTGGCGTGTGGCCGTGGAGTGTCCCGGGGACAGGGCGTGAGCCAGATGGCGCATGAGGCACGGCGGGGTGGTCTCGCCCCACGCGGGGCAGAAGGCACCCTGCAGCCGTCCAGGAGAAGGTAACTGCAGACCGCCAGCAGTCGTTTGGCTGCCGGAAATGACGCCGGGCCTGTGTGATGTCTGCTCAGGAGGTCAGCGCTTCCCGTCCCCTCTCCTCGCGCCCTGGAGTTCGTCCAGTGGCCACCACTGGCAGCACACTGCCCTGCTGTCGTGAGCCACGGTTCCTCCTTCGAACAAGACCCAGCGGCAGTCTGCTTTCCTTCCCAAAGGTTCTTTATCGCTTCCAGTACAAACCACCCGGAATGAGTCTCTGAGCATGCACAGAGTGGGTTATGGAACCAGCCTAGTGACTGCCTCCAGGGACTCTCCCCGAGAGCATGTGTGTGCCCCACCGCTTCAGGAGGGGCTGCCTGGAGGCAGGCTGGTCCACACCTGGGGGTTCCTCACCCCCAGTGCCCCCTCCAGTTGTGCACTGGAGCCAGTCCCAATGTGGCAAGCCACCTGGCCTGGAGGCAGTGAGCCCTCAGGCCGTGAGCTAACCCATGCTCCCCAGCTCACCCACACCTCCTCCATCCTCCAAATCTGAGTCACTGTCCCAGCTTCCCGGCGGGCTGTATTCCAGCTTTCCCTGGAGATACTGAGAACTGAAACTGGGACCTTTTAAGGGCAAAGCGGGGGTGCTTTGTGCCACCCAACTGCGGTCTCCACGCTCTTTCTCATCGGCGGTTTGACCCCCGCTTCAAAAGCTGCCTTGGCTAATCTGTCACTTCAGCTGAGAGGCACCCCCGTCTTACCACTCTCCCCTAAGAGCGATAAGAGCGATTGCAGAAACACCTGCAAACTGCTGTAGAGTTTGCAGGAACCGAGCGTATGCTGGCGATCTCAGAGGAGCCGGCCAGAAGGTGCCCGTCACTCTGCCCCCCCCCCCCCCCCTGCACACACGTCCATTAACAGCTCACAAGAGACAGGTGAAGACGTGTGAGTTTCCAGAGCTCTCAGCATGAGCTCCACACACTTCAGCCACGCTGAAAGCTTTCCCTCTGCCGTCTTGGTGCCTTCTGTCCAGTATGTCAGCTTCAAAACTTGCTGCCCTAGAAGAAATAAGGACCTCCCGCCCCCCGTGCCCTGGCTAAACCTCCCCAGACTTCCTTCATTCTCTCCACATTACAGGAAGGATATAGCCAGGTTGGAGTCGGGGCAGCGCAGGGCCACAAGGTTGGTGGCCGGTTTGCAGGGGAGGCCGTTTGAGGTGAGGCTGAGGGAACGGGGTCTCTTCAGCCTGGAGAAGAGGAGACTCAGAGGGGATCTGTTGGCAACATATAGGTATGTGAGGGGGTGTCACACGGAGGTGGGGAGAGACCTGTTCTCCCCTGCAGAGGAAGGCAGGACGCACTCCAATGGAGTGAAGCTCAGGGAACCAAGGTTCCGTTTGGATGCCAGGAGGTACTTCCTGATGGTTAGGACCCCGAGGGTATGGAATGGGCTTCCACGGGAGGTGGTTGAGGCCCCATCGGTGCGGGAGTTCAAAGAGGCGCCTGGAGCCGGGGGCCAGACTAGATGCACAGGATGCACGAGCCTGTTGGGTTGCCAACTAGCTGCACAGGGGCCAAATCTTCCTGTCCCTTGGATGCTTCCTGCAGTGGCCCCCAGGGTGAGAGGAAGAGAGACCAGTCCAGAAGCAACAGTGAAAGGAACTCTCATTTTCCCTTCTGGCTCAAGCACCGATTCCCCCTGTCCCCACTTACTACAATGAAATAGAGCAGAATCCCCACCTGGTTGGGAGGTGGCGGGGGGCAGATGCTGTTGCCTTCGGCCACCCTGCATGTTCCTCGGAAGGTGTGGCTCAAGGGAGGCACGGCCCCAGTTGGCCCTTCTGCTCCAAAACTGAACAGGTTCCGCCGTGACGACCTCGTGTGCAACGCCCGTTGCGGACGTCCCCGACCCAGTGCCCTCCAGATGTTCTGTCCTGCAGCTTGCAGCGTCCCTCACCAGCATGCCTCATGGTCAGCAACTCGGGGGATTTTAATGGGAAACATCTGGAGCGGACCACAGTGGCGAAAGCTGCTTTCAGGAGCTGCTGTGAACCGCCACCTCTCGTATTGCTCTGAGCACATGCGCTGCCGTCTTTCCCACTCGCCTGTCTCAGGATGTAGCGGGGAGAACTTCTGTGTTGAAGATCCTGCCGTCTTCCGTCTTCCCTCATTCTCAGGACCAAATCCTGATGCATGTTCCCCCATCCAATTCCCCAACCAAAACGCTCGCACACTGCCGTCCACACCACACCAGCGGTAGCCATTTCTGGAGAACCTCATTCTCTGCCGCTCCTTTTTCCCATGGAAGGCCATCTGAGCAGCTCTTGAGGGCCACGGCCAGGCCGAGGGTGGTTCTCCGTGCTGCATGGAGGGGGTGGCGTCGCCTCGTTTTCTCTGTTGGAAGCATCTGATCAAAGCCCCCCCCCCCAACTCCCACACTGGCTGCCCGTCCACTCCTGGAGCCTATTGCTTTCATCTGAACCTGAGGGCCAAGCTGTATCGAACCCACGGTCCAGCATTCTGCTCACACAGGAGCCAGCCTGTGGGGAACCCCATGTGTTCAATGGCATCCTCATACCCATGTTCCTCAGTGACTGATGTGCATAGGTGTGTTGCCGTTGGGGCTGGAGGTGGCAAAGAGCCATCGGGACTAGTAGCCATCGATTTCCTCCATCCCCACGGCCTCGGTTAAATTCCTTTTACGTTTGTGTCCACTGCCACAGTTTGTGGGAGCAAATCCCGTCCTCTCACAAAGCACTGAGTGGAGATGTGCCTCCGTCCACGGGTACCGCATCTCCCACCTCCAGCCTTCGTCAGGCAGCCCCTGGCCCAGCGTCACGAGGCAGGCAAAGATCCCTCCCTTTCCATTCCCTCGCTCCAGCAGCCTCTGATCCCGTCTGTCCTACCTTGCCTTCAGCAGTCCCAGAGGTTGCACCGTCCCTGGCAGGGGAGCCGCCGCCCCAGGATCGTTCCAGTGGCCTTTTCTTCCATTTCCCTCTCCACAGCTTTCTTTTCAAGTTGCACCGAGCAGAGTCATGCACAATATTCCAAATGTGGTTCCTCTGCTCTTACCTTCAGATCCATCCGCCCATCCCTGCCTGTGATCTTTGCTCATCCTGCTCTAGTGCCACCTGGAACTTGCCGGCTCTTTCCCCCTTGCCGCCCCTGCACTCATGGACCTGCCTCCCAGAACGCTTAGGCTTAGGCTTAGGCTTAGGCTTCAGACCCATCTCTTTAGGCAGGGCTTGCCACCGCGCCCGAGTCCCCGAACCACGACTGCAGAACCAAAAAGGCCGCGTGATTTCACATGCATGGGAGTGGCCACGCCTCTGCCACCAGTGGGCCGCTGTCAGCAGGCGTGGGACCAACCCCACGGGTCATCGTTTGCTCTTGGCCCACAGTGCTGGCTAGATCTTCCAGCACTTGGGGCACGATCTGGGCTCTGCCACATGCGGGTTTCCCTGCCAGGGAAGCCTCGAAGGCAGAGGAACTGAGCTGGCCGTGCCCTCTTGGTTTTCCCAGCAGAGGCGATCCCCAGTGGCACCGCTGTGCCTTTAAACTGTCCGTTCTCCAGCATCTTTCCCTGGCCGAGTCTGGCTTGCAGTTTTGCCATTTGGGGAGGGCTCGTCACAACAGCACCCATGCCAGAAGATTCACGTGGGAACTCCTTGCACACTCTCCGAGGGCAGCTGGCGGGGGAGGGGTGAGAACGCCCCACAAGTCCAGTCTACGAGGAGGTAATTGCGCAGGCATCGGGACCAAACTGCAGCAGGCAGGGCCACAAACGGTCGTCTTGGTGCAGTTCAGGCCTAAATCGGGAGCGTTGCGATTTTGTGAATGGCCTGAGAAAGGGTCTGCGAAGACCAGCATCTTGCCTCAGGCCTTCCTGCTGATTACCTGTGCTGGCTTTACATCCCCCTCTTGTGGGGTGAGGGGGGCTGCTCTGCCAGGCCGGGCGCCAGCTCCTGGGACTGACTGGAACGGCGGGCAGCCTCACTCTCTTCTGTGCACCCAGCAAGGGTGGCTTTAATTAGAGCCAGGAGAGGCGAGCAGAGGGCAGGCGAGCAGAGCGAGGGACACCAAGGTGGAGCTGTGACCCCACCGGGGGTGGGGGGCAGCAGGAGATAACGGCAAAGCCAGTGTGGTTGTCGGAGGCCTCTGGAATCAGGATTGGCTCAGGCCTGCCACGAGGGCTCCACGGCTCCAGGGCTGATCCTAGAACTCTCCGGGAGTCGTGGCCCAGAGATTCCCCACCAACCTTCACCCTGCAGAGATGAAATCCGCACCTTCGAGCACATGCATTGTCCGTCCTCTGGGGATTCCTCACCAGCACAGCCAGAGACTTCCCTGCCCGGGGGCGTGTTGTGCCAGGCCCGTGGCTCCGTGGCTCGCCCCTTCTTTTTGAGGCACCAAAGGGGTGGTGAAGAAGCAGCAGGGAGCTGCAAGGTCAAAGCTGCCCCTGCAGAGTCAGCCTCGGTGGCTGTATCATCAGAGTCCTCCACGCTGCCAAAAAGCCACATTCTTCACATATTGCCCAACACAAATCTTCGAGATGATCGGCCTAGCATGAATTTTTAAAACCTCCCCTGGAACGGTTCACCCATAAATCAGGGGCCGTTTGTGCTCCTCTGAATCAAAATGGGAGCCGTGCATCCTGCTTCACACGGGGTGATCCTCAATTGTTGGGATAAGAGGGCTGAGAATCGAACCGAGCGACCACATGCAGGCTCTGCGTGGTTAAACGAGGCAGATTCCAGCTGATTTAGCAGACCCTCCTGATTCCAAGAGTTGTCAGCAAAGGGGGTGGGCTTGGTCCAGGAAGGTGGCTTTAAAACGTTCCCAGGAAGGAAGGCTTGACTGCAGCAGCCTTCCTGAACCTGGCT